CCAGCTCTCTAAATGTATATACTAATTCTACAAATATATTTTTAAATCTTATAAAGAAGCTTGTATCACTTATAAGGCTCCCAAATGTGATCTGAGTTTGAACTGTGTTAAGTTAAAGCCGAAACCGCAGTCTGTGAGAAGCGGGAACAATGGATCCCTAGAGTCAGCCATGCCTGTCATATTCTCAGAACTTCATGCTTAGATCGTTAAAATCCCTACCAGTGGGTAATGCTAAACAACAAGGAAAGGAGGAGGGAATGGGCCTTCAGCTCCTGAACCAGCCTGGTGGTCTCAGGGTCCGCAGCCTGCCTGGATCCCTAACGCTCAGGCAGGCCTCCACGGCTGGCTCCCAACATGTTGGTAGACTTTGTTTCCATAGGGAATTTCCTTGGGCTCGGTGGTTCGAGGTGGCGGTTCACTTGACTGCTCTGTAAATCACAGCTGGATGACTTCACATGCCTGTCAGAGAAAGCTGTTCGGCCCAACTGTTGGATATATTTGATTAAGTACATATTTCCATAACAAATCCCATCCTCCTGCACACACATATATGTATGAAGATTGCACAACAAAGCAAGCATAAGGTGATCTGGCATGTGATCACTCATGTCTTTTAGATTACTTTAGATTACTGGCTAATTTCTGTTTGACTCTTCAGAAAACCAGTAAACTGCTGGAAATCTCACTAGTGAGAATGCACGGCCTTCAGGTGACCTTTGGGACCGGCTCTGCTCTTATGAAAGTATATGTGCCATGCTTTTAGATATAAGCACATAAATAAAGTCTAAATCATGCCAGATGGTGTTCAGAATTGTCCTTACATATTAAATCATTCTCCATGTGCTAATTTTTACATGTAGTCTTGATCTTCTCGAGTTTTTTCTGGGAAGTTCTTTCTTTACTGAAAGCAGAGCATTGAAAAGAGAAGCATGGTGTTGCTTTCTGGGATTTTGTTCTTTTATTCCCATGCCATAGCAATTCCCCTGACCCATGACACTATGGCTCCTGGGAGGTTTCAGAGTTGGTATCGTGTGGGGTCAGGATTTCTGCATGGGGTCAGAGGATCCACAGGAACAATCACACTTCCTCAAAGGAGTTTGGGAGACAATGACATTAAAAGGGAGTCTTGAATCTTGCAAACAGTCTCATGTCACAGCAGTCCATGCAACACGAAGGGGTCTCTGGTGTGTGCAGCCCTGGCTCTGGACTGTGTCCCAGAGAGTTCCTCTCTCTCTGCTTGATGGCTGTCCCTCTGTCATCTCCCAGAGTGCCCCAAAGGAGTGGTTTAGGGTGGATTTGTGTGCTCTCTCTCTCTCACTCTCTTTTTGACATCACGTCCTCAGACTAGTTTTTACTTATGACCAAGTGCCTGTGACTTCGAGGTATGAAATTCATGAAGTGTAGAAACTGGAAAGAAAAAATGGGTAGGTGAAAGGGTGGGACACACTGCTTTAGAAACCGTTTCCTTAACTCTGGGCATGTGTGGAAAAAGGTGATTGGCATGTGAACAGTTGCACATCTTAGATCATCAGCTCATTTCTCTTTGACTCTTCAGAAAGCTGATTAACACTCAGATGTCACTGAACATGTTGTTTATGCTCATGTTCACACACATAGATATCCACAGGGGTACTGAGGCTTCACTGCCCTTCAGATCCGTTCTGCTGGTACTTAATGTTCTGCTGTTGTGTTCTAGACTGTTCGGCTGCTGGTGTGCTTCCAAAGAATGGATGCGGTACTTGTGTTCAGCTGATGGTGCCTGCAATTAACCAACAAACCTCCTCAAAGGCTTGAAATAAAACAAAATACTCTTATTTTTTTGTGTCAGAGTTTCTTTTGCCAGGCTGGAGTGCAATGACGCCATCATGGCTCACTGCAGCCTCAACTTCTTGGGCTCAAGGAATCCTTCTGCCTCGACTTCTGAGTAGCTGGGACTACAGGTGCATACCACCACGCCTGGGTTTTTTTTTGTAGAGACAAGGTCTTACTATGTTGCCCAGGCTAGTCTCAAGCTCCTGGGCAACAGAATGAGACCCAACTGAAAAAAAAAAGAAAGGAAAAAAAAGACGAGAGTTTATTCTGTTTTTCATCTATATCATGTATGTGGCTTAATCACAGTCTTATACCAGGACTCGTTCACGTGTCAACTCGAGTGAGTGTTCTCTGTACTCCCTCCCGGGGTCTCTGCCTTGCTGGAGAGCATCCGAGACTGTCACAGACACTTAGAAACTCTGAGGTCATCCAAAAGTATCGGAAACACGTAATAAATCTGTTTATTAATAAATCAGGAAATATTTACTGAGCACTTAATATGTTTCAGGTAGTTGTAGTAACTACAGCAAACAGCATGATTTTGCTTGAAAATAATTTTTTTTGCATGTGATTAGGTCTTAGTAAAAGAAAATTTTGCAATGTTGCTTTTGCTTTGTTTTTGTTATTACTTAAACAGGCAGTTGTTATTCTTCTCTTTCCAAAAACACAATATTAATAAAAAACTGTGACCCTCCCTTATGAAGTAATTGTCCCCCTCGTATGAAGTAATTCGGGTATCTCTTTGTTTATGTCTTGAAACCACATGTCTTCAGCCAGAGTCGTTTCCCTCCTCCCTCCCGCAGCTCAACTGCTCTGGGCAGAAGCAGTGATCTTTTTGCTATTAATTTTCTGTGAAGTCAGGCCAGAAAGCTTTAAACATATTTTGACCAAGATGGCTTAGGAGTCTGGTTATGTCTCAATTTGCTCTGACTGACTCGATGGAATTGCATCTTGGATCATCAAAAGGCGATGTGTGATGTGTGTTTTCTCACTTGAGCTCATTCTGCGGGATGTTCTGCTGCTGAGTGTACTCCTACCTGGGGTGATGGAGGGACCCCCAACTTGGGAGCAGTTTTCCTGCTCAGCAACTGGTCTCCTGCTCTGGTTTTTTCCAGGATGTGATGGATTCCTGTCCTTTTCTTTCTTCTGAGGAAGTTTGCACCTGCTACCTCTTATGCTTTTTAAAAAATTTTAATTTGTGAAATTAATTTTATGAAAATTCAAAACAGTTTCACATTTCCAGAAGACTTGCAAGCACAGTACAACTGTCTTTTGTGTCCTGCAGTTTTGGCAAATAAGTTTTGCCAACATGGTGCTTCTTATTCTTAAATATAACAGGACCCTCTCCAGTGTAATGTGATCACATTAGGCCAGGTGCAGTGGCTCACACCCGTCATCCCAGCACTTTGGGAGCTGGAAGCAAGAGGATTGCCTGAGTCCAGGGGTTTGAGACCAGCCTGGACAACTTGGTGAGACCTCGTCTCTACAATAAATTTTTAAAAATTAGCCAGGCAGCTGGGCTCGGTGGCTCAGCCTGTAATCCCGCGCCTTTGGGAGGCTGAGGTGAGTGGATTGCCTGAGCCCGCGGGTTCGAGACCTGCCTGGGCAGCAAGACCTCATCTCTACAATAAATCAAAAAATCAGCCGGGTGTGGTAGCACATGCCTGTAATTCCAGCTACTTGGAAGGCTGAGGCGGAAGGATCACCGGAGCCCAGCAAGTCGAGACTGCGGTGGCCGGGAGCGGCCACTGCACTCTAGTCTGGGTGGCAGAGTGAGACTCCAACTCAAAAAAAAACAGAATATGAATGCTGGTGTATCACTACCATCCAGTCCTCATGCTAGTCAACTGGCGAAACAGGGAAGTTTGAGGACTGCATTATAGAAAAAAGGTCATGACAGTTCACAGTGGGGAGATGGAGAAAATATATAGTCTCAGAAAAGCATGTGTGCTTCACATAAGCTGAATGGCAAATGAAGAGGCAGGCAAAGGTGATTGTGGTCAGCGGCTGCTGTATGTGTGTCTATCCAGGGACTCCAGAGTGTATCTGTGTTCACTTTGATGCTGACTGTGCGAGCGCTTTTTAGTTTATATTATGTTATATTATTTTTAGAAAGTAGGGTCTTGCTTTGTTGCCCAGGCTGGAGTGCAGTGACGCTATTATAGCTCACTGCAGCCTCAAATTTCCTGGGTTCAAGTGATCTTCTGCCTCAGCCTCCCAAGTAACTGAGACTATAGGTGCATGTCACACACCCAGCTATTTTGTTCTATTTTGTTTTGCTTTTTTGTAGAGATGACATCTTGCCATGTTGCCCAGCTTAGTCTCAAATTCCTGGCCTCCAGTCCTCCTGCCTTGGCTTCCCAAAGTGCTGGGGTTACAGGCATGAGCCACTGAGCCCTGCATTACTCTGAGAGCGCTTGATGACTGTCACTTGACTGCCAGATAGGGCCAGCTTTGACTTGGCAGTTGCTCTACCATTTCTGAGTCAGCTATCTTGGTTTTGTTCATCTGCTTCTTGCAGTAGCTTCTGGGAGTTTGGTTATTCAAACCCAGGTCAGGACTTCCAGAGCATCGGGGTTTTTCTATGCATGTCATTTGCAGTGCCACTGCACTCTGCGGGCATTCTCACCTGAGCAGGTGTCCAGCCTCGTCTCTCTGTGACTGCAGAGTGAGAAAACTTGCTCTCTGATCTTTCACATCTTTCTGAGGAAATAATCCTAAATAAAGCTTTAAAAAATACTTTTTCTCTGATTTATATTAGGAAGTGGCATTGTTATGAAATAGATATGCCAAAGAACAGTTTTCTTAGAAAAAGTACAAAAGTTTATCAAGACTAGCTCTTTGAAAGAACTAAAATAGGAAATCTTAGGTGTAAAATGGTTTTTAATGCACATGTTTTTGCAAATGCTAATTAGCTTTAAAGTTTTTTGAGCATTTGCAGAAGTTAAAAATTCACACATCTCATGACCTTATCAAAATGACTTGTTCTTTATTGTTTGCACGTGTAATTGTATAACGATTACAATAAAGTATAAAAAAGTTATTACACATACAGATTCTGATTGTGGGGTGTGTTTTGAAGGCTCTTGCAGACCAGTTTGAAGATAAAACCACATCTGTGCTGGAACGTCTGAAGGTTTTTTACTGCTGTCAAGTACCGCCTCACTGGGCCATTCAGGTATCTTTGCATTAGAAAAGAATAATTCCAATTTAGGTTTGAATTTTTGAATATTTGGTGAAAAGAATAAAAGTGTCTAGGTGGGGATGGCTATATACTTTAAATTGCTATTTTGATTAAAGTGATATTAGACCCATAAACATTTTTAAAAGAATTTAAAACTGTGTATTAAATAGAAGTGCTTTCATTTTCAAAATAAGGTTTTTTTTTTTTTTTAAAGAGACAGGGTTCTGCTATGTTGTCTATGTGCACCGCAGCCTTGAGCTCCTAGGCTCAAGCAATCCTCCTGTCTTAGCCTCCTGCTGGGACTACAGGCAAATACACCACTGCACCCCGCTTCAAAGTAATTTTTTATATTTAAAAGTCCTTTAAGGACTTCCTGGAAAAGAATGAACCTTTTCACCAAGATGTTTATACAAAGTAAAAGTAAGCATTTGTCTAACGTACTTCATGTTGTGAGATACGTTTAACTACCTCCTCTCTCTGGGGGTGTGAGAATCCCGAAGGTAGCCCCGAAAGCCCCATGTTGGAGTGGAGATTCTGGCCCCCTGTCCACAGGCTCCCCATGTTGTTGGTAGGGGGATCCCTGTTCTGTGAAAGTCTAGCACTGAAGGTAACTTAGACAGCTGGCCCAGTTTCTTAATTTTACAGAGAAGAAATTAAGACCCAGGGCAGTTAACTTTCCAGTGTTGATTGCACAGCTATCCATGGGCTCCATCCCTGGTTTCCCGACTTTTAGTCCAGTCCACCTCCTTTCCTTCTCTCTTCACTGGGCTGTCATTTTACCAGCCAATGACATCCAGCACACTTGGGAGCATGCATGCATTTTGTTCTGCATTTTCCACACATTATCTTACTTTATTGCAAGGATTTAGGGAATTACCCCTGTTTTACAGGTAAGAGGTTGCGGCCCAGAGTGGTGCAGTGAAGTCAGATGGTGCCAGCCAGGAGATCTAGGTGACCTAGTAACTCTTGTCACTTTAATCGGCTTTTTTTTTTTTTTGCCCACTCTCTCATGGATTAAGCATCTAGGTAATGACTTAGAACTGTAAATGCCAACCCACCATTCAGTGGTTCAGACTTCTTAGAGTAGGTTGTGTTCTAGGAGATGTATTACACACTGAGGTTCACTTTATGTATTGAAGGAGTCTCAGGAAAACATAGCAAATAAAAAGCTTTGCTATGTCATCTCAAAAAGAAGTAACTTCTTCATCACAAAGGCGTTAACAGCTAGGATTTTAAGGCATGCTTTTTACTGTGATGTGTGAAATTTGTTAAGTGCTTTGTATTATGTGGTTTGTGGTAGATAAACATTTCAGACTGAGCTCGGTGTTACTTTTTATCTGTTTCTGAAGAGAAACATTAGGAAACTTAAATACTGTTCAAATAGAATTTAGGCTGCATGTTTATTTCATCTGCTTGGAAATCTGTGTATTTTAGGATCTTTGGGCAGTTAGATAAGGATCCTTTTTCATTAAGTTAAATCACTTGAATCATAGGGAGTAACCATGCCCTTATGTATTATTTTAAATATCAAGAGATAACAGCATAGTTAATTATAAAAGGAGAGTTAGTCTCTGCCACTAACTAGCCATATCTTCTTGGATGTCACCAACTCTCTTCATCTGTTAAATGAAAAAATTGAACAAGCTAAGTTTTATTTCAGTCCCCACATGCTATGTTCAGTTTGTGAAAATGTCCAATTAAATGCTCTCAAATTGCCACATTCTCCTATTTCATAGGACCACTCTCCTTATTTATTTTGATAATATAGTCATAATTTTTAGGTGTTTTTCATTTTATTTTCAAATATTGTCATTCCTGGTTCTTTTATATCCATTACTTTTTTTTTTTTTTTTTTTTTTTGAGTCGGAGTCTCACTCTGTCGCCCAGACTGGAGTGCAGTGGCTGCTCCCGGCCACCACAGCCTCGACCTGCTGGGTTCCGGCGATCCTTCCGCCTCAGCCTTCCAAGTAGCTGGATCTACAGGCGTGCGCTACTATGCCCGGCTGAGTTTTGATTTATTGTAGAGATGAGGTCTAGCCAAGTTGCCCAGGCGGGTCTCGAACCCACGGGCTCAGGCAATCCACTTACCTCAGCCTCCCAAAGGCGTGGGATTACAGGCTGAGCCACCGAGCCCGGTTCTATCCATTACTTTTAAACTCCTAATATGTATTGAATTTTCAAAGGGTAGTAAAAGTACACTTAAAAGGAAACAACACAGCTCTAACGGGAAATTTAGTGACTATACCTTATTAATGAACCTCGTCTACTTTTTTTAACTTTTTAGTTTTTTTTTTCCATTTCTGCAGATTGGACCACTTATAAACTACAATACACTTGTTTTGTAATATGTTTAACCTTCGCTGAGCTTACCAGTTTGCTCCTTTTTATCTGCCAGGAATTGGGAAATTAGGTAGCTAAGTTTGTTAGAATGTACTTAAATCTAAGTAGACTCATGTGAAAAAGAACCAGAGATTCCCTTGTGAATGAAGTTCTCAAGGGCTAATGCACAAATTTTATGTCATCTATATTGACTGTCAGAGATTTAAAATTGATTTATTGGATTTCAGCTTTATAAATCAGAGATTGTTGTATATAGAGTCTCTAGGTAAAAAAGAAATGATTTTTGCTTTTTAAGTTCTGGGTTTGTATAAAAGGTTGATATGTTGAGTATTTTGAACAGTTTCTATGCTGTTTTTTAATTCCTCATATTCTGTAAAGAAACTTGTTAAGGTAAAGGTAAGTATTGAATTGTTGCAAATTCCTAAGTAGTAGAGATTGAATGACAGAAACTGTGCATTTATTACAATTGGGGATTGATTACAAAGGCAGATTGGGTATCCCTGAATGTGAAACAGGAATGTCTCTACAAATTTTAGATGTATTCATTATTTTCACTTGATTTTCCTAGCGCCAGCTTGCAAGTTTGCTCTTTGAGTTGGGATGTACCAGTTCAGCCCTCCAGATATTTGAGAAGCTGGAAATGTGGGAAGATGTTGTCATTTGCCATGAAAGGGCCGGGCAGCATGGGAAGGTATGTTCCAGTCACATCTGCTGTGTGGCAAGTGCCTTCTGTCCTGGGGCATCTTCTCACTTGTTTTGTTTTCTAAGCCCACCTTTGCCAGTATTCACTTACATTCCTTCTTTCACCTTTTTCCAGAAAACTTTTTAATGTTTTCTCTGATTTCCATTGGGGCAGATTATTCTGTGTATGCAGATGTATGTGTATATCGAAGAGAAAAGTAGACTGACATTGACAGGATATTGGACATTTAGAAAGGATAATGCAAGTTTGAAGACACTGCATTTTGAAGTCTTTCTCTTCCTAACTCTTCCCCTGTAGGACAACTTGAAAATGAAATACTGGGAATTATCTTATTATCACTGTTGCCTGACGATCAGAGGCTGTGTGGGTCTGGAGGGATGTTACCTGGGGGCGGGGGGGGGTGGGAAGCAACTGGCTCTTTCTGTCTGCAGAAGAAAATCCAGAGGGTGTGACAGCCACTCAGGGCAGAAGAGTTGTCGGGTGTGTAATGCACATTTAATTACACCCTTAAATTGGGTCAAGAGGGAAAATGTTGCAATATTTTCATCTGTTATTAATCTCATACTTGAACAGAATTTTAAGAATAATAAGGGACTTTGTGTGTTAGGGTAAAAATGAACACGTTGAAATCATATGTTAAATTTTGGATTAAAAATTTAAATGACTAAGTAGAAGTCACAGCAGAGTAAAACTCACCAACTGGATTGTTTTTGCCATCACCCTGAAAAAAAAAATAGTGGTTCAAGTGTATGTTTTTCTTAAATATCTTCCTAAGTATGTCTATTTTAGACTAATAGCGAAAGTTGCATTTCTGTCAAGAATCATTTCATGGTTGATGACTGAAAATTCTTGAATCGTATTGGCTGAAGGAGAAACCAAACACAGGAGCAAAGTTTTGCTGTAGAAGGTCAGGAATTATGACATTTTGATGCTGGCAAGGAGCTCTGTAATCTATTCTGGCTCCCTCCTTTTCCAAATAAGGAGAGAATGACCTTACGATTTCCTCAGATCACAAAGCTAGTTATTGATTATTTACGTGAGAGGTGAGATGGCATGGTGGCTAAGGGCACAGCCTTCCCATGTTAAAAGCCTTTTTTCTTTCTCAGGATTTGTCTTGCAATTGATGGCATCTCATACTTGACGAAATATAGGATTCTGTTTCTTCAGGGACTGAAATCTTTTTGTGCTGGCCATTGTCTGACATTAGAGTAGTGTTCAGATGTTGGCTTGGCAAAGGGACCAATGGGCAAATGATTATCTCAACTTCTGATCAGATGTGGTTTCCACTGCATCAGTCTTTACTGCATCAGCCTTTTTTTACATTGGTCAGTAAATAAATAAGCAATAACTATACATAAACATGTGGTAGTTTTTGAAATAGTAATTTTTGAAATAATAAAGCAAGCTGTTAAGTCACAAATACCCAAGGCATAATTTAAAATATTAAATTAATTCTTTTTAGGAAGTATGGAAGGCCAAGACTTTACCTAATTGTAGGAGAAAAAAATATAATGAATCATCCCCTTCAGAGGAGTGATTTGACTATGTCCCTTGAAGTAGTTGTGATATTATTTTTAAAAATTTGTTTACAACCTTGTAACAGTTGTCTATAATAATGATAAATGCCTGTGTTTCTAAATAAGAGAGTGTGCATATATTTTGATTTTTAGGTATGTTTAGTCATTTACTTTGTCATAAGTTTTTTTGTGAGCTTCAGCCTAACACCCCCGCAATCTTGATTTTAAGGGTTGCTTTTAACATTTTGTTTATCCCGTGAAAGACCCCCCCTACCTGTTTTTCTTATGCTATATTTGCAGATTGGCTCAACTGGAGAAATGAAAAAGCTTTGCTGTAAGTTGGAGGCAAATGTTTTCTTTCTAAAGCAGCTGAGGTTCTTTTAGTATAGTTGTCATCACGTTTTGATTTAACCAGAAGTCTGTGAAATTTTAATCCTTGCATTTAGTGCTTAATGGCTTAATTTATTTTTAAAAGGCAAATTTGGAGAAATGTTTCATTCTATTTATTATATTCTGGTGCTCATGTTTACACCCTGCTGTTGTCAGGTCGCAGGCTTTCCAGTTTAGAAACTACCTGCATACGTTCTTGTTATTTAATGACCGTTGGCAAAATAACTAAGATTAATTTTGCTTGACCTTGGGATCAGAACTGGTTCTCATCTGTTAGCATTTAATTTTTTAAAGTTATCTGGCCCACTTATAACAATTTCCCCTAGCTGACGGATATATTCTTATTTTGTTGAGCAGACTTGGCCCCTAAATGAGCGTCAAAGACCCAGCTGGCGTACGCTGCTTTCAGGGTGACTGGAGGGTGGATGGAGGTGGGGCTGGGGAATCAGGGCTGGGACCGCTCTTGTTTTCTCATTTCTGGAAAGCAGGGTTTTCCCGAGATTGCGAAGCCGTTTTTTAAAATGATGCTACACCGCAGATCATTGTAACCATGGACTCTTGAAAAGTTTTAAGTTGCAAGTAAATGTTTTATTTCTAAAACAGCTGAGTTTTTCTTTTAAGTTGCGAGTTGAGTTTTTTTTGGTTTTAGAGGTTTGTTTTCTAAGACTGAGTTTATACAATTGAAGAGATTTCCCACAGGTTCTTTTCCCACTCTGTGGCCAGAGTGTCCTTCCTAAAAACAGATGTGACCGTGTCATTCCCTCCTTCAGGAGCCTCCCTTTGTTTCCAGGGCTGAGTCCCAGTGCTGTAGTGATTGACTTCCAGACCGCTTATGCCCTGGCTGTGCTTCCAGTGCCCACTGTGTCTTTTCCTCCTTGCTCTGTCTGCCTCAACTCTCCCCATACCCCCTCATCAGGGTTGTGCCTGAGGCTCCAGCAGGATTTAACTACTTGCATTTCCTTGACGTGCAGGGTTGTCTCACCCCAGGACCTCCCACGGGCTACAGGCTGTCTAGGACAACACCTGCCTCATCCAGTGAGCTCCTACCTGTTCTGCAGCTCCCTCTTGGGTGATTGCCGGTCACAGAGCCCTCCCTGACCCCTCCCTCCTGGACCTGGTGGTGCTGTCCCCATTGTTCTGGTCACTTTGCTGATGAGTGTTCATAGGTGGCAGATTTTGGAATCTGAGCTCGGACCTTTCTTTCCTGGAAGCCTGCACACTTTTCCCCACACCTGCCTGCCATCATGGTGATTGGTAATCCCTCAAAAATTGGATCTGGGCCAGGCTCAGTGGCTCAGGCCTATAATCTCAGTACTTTGGGAGGCCAAGGTGGGCAGATTGTTTGAGGCCGGGAGTTCAAGACCAGCCTGGACAACACAGTGAGACCTCATCTCTACAAAAAACTAAAGAATGAACCAGGTGTGCTGGCACGCTCTTGTAGAACCAGTGACTCGAGAGGCTGGGGCAGAAGGATCACCTGAGCCCAGGAGGTCGAGGCTGCAGTGTGCTGTGATCCATGTCACAGAGTGAGACCCTGGCTTTAAAAAAACAAAAATTGAATATTGGGTTTGTAGGTTAAAACCTGTTATGCTCTCCTGAATGAGAAAAACAGGCAGAATAATGGGAAATACTGTATAACTTGGTAATGCAAATGGGAGATGGTCCACTCATGGGATAACGAGGCCTGTTTTTAATTACTCTGTTTTATCTTGGGCCTGGAGTATTTATGTTGGCAAGTACCCTTTGGAAAAGCAAGCCAGAGTGTGTGTCGTCACACCTAATGTGAGTGGCAGCTGCTGAGTCTTATGTCCCGGGAGAGGGGCTGCCGCTCATGGGATGGGCATTTAGGCTAGGAGCAGACTGCCATTCTGTGGAAGGACTGTCCCTGGTGAGGAGGAGGGACTTTGGTACTCCTCTACTCTGTCCTGTCATCCTTACACACTGTGTCAGGACCATTGCATACCTTTTGGGGATCAGCCTCCCTAGCTTTGAGACCCAGCTTCTACCATACTACAAACCAAAATCCATGTGTGTTCTCTGCTTCGGGGGAGAGGGCTGGAATTAGACTACGTCCAAAGTGGTGTGAGTTCTACGCATGTGCATACACATACACACACACACGCACACGCACACACACTAAATAATCCTAAAGCTCTTGACAGGAGGACAAATCTGGCTCATAGTGTGTGATCTTCAATTGTTATCCTGCCTTTCTTCCCCTTTGGAATTAGCCTCTGGCTGTTAAGCCTAACTCTGCCTTCTCTGTTGTCCTGAAAGACTCTCTTTACAGTTGACAGCATCCCTGGGTCTAGAGTTCATTTTCCTCTCCTCACATTTTGCCATGAGGGCTAACTGCTGTTGCTGGCAGCCAATTTCCCTTCCCTATTCCTGACTAGATGCGAGGTCAGAGGAGAGCCACTCTGACCACATATTCGAATTTAATTCCTTCCGCTAATTCACAAAATCAAGGCACAAATCACAGCCAAGGCCAGCAGTTTGTTTTAATAATTCCTTCTGGCGCAAGAGTGAATAATTTTCCTGAAATGTTTTATCTACCTTTTTGCTAGAGACTGAACTTGGCTTTCACCCATTTCCTTTACTCCAAACCCAAGGCCTTGTCCCTGGCAGGGCTTTTCTAGACACCCTGTAGTGCTTAGGAGAGGTGCTTTTCTCGCTCACATCTCAAACTTCGTACGAGGACTTGCAGAAAATCATATCATCCTAAATGCAAATGAACCCCAACGTGACCTGTTCTCAGTCTGTTAACCCCTTTGTTTGTGTATATCTGGAGTTCTCCGTTACCTCTCCACGCTGGATCAAAGCATTGATCAAAAGGTACACCACTGGGGTGGGGAGCCCTTCAGATGCTCAAGTCTCCTCTCAGGCCTCCAGCTTTTCTCTTCAGTGTTTCAATCCTAGGAAGAGTTTATGAGTGTGAGTAGGGCATGCTCTTTGGGGTTTGCATCTGACAAGATTCTTGCAAGCACTCCAGGTTCATGGCAGCCAGTTGTCCATTTAAATATATTTGTGTTTGTTTGAGAATGTATTTTTATCCTACTTAATAGACATTTAGATGAAGAA